TGGCCTAGGTGTCAGCCCAAATAACAAAAACTGCGCCAGTGCCAGGTATAGGAAAAAGAAGTGAATAATGTTAGGTTAGTGGGCATATCAATAATTAGAATAGCAATTATTTATGTCTCTCCATATACCACTGTGTTTGGATCGATTAATGAAGGTGAACAATATCGTTGTGTGAGACAAAAAAGTATTGCTGGCCGTGATTATTCAAAGAATAGTTATCCAATCAATCATATCCCGTGAATGAATGAAACACAGATCAAACAAGTATGTGAATCTTGAAGGGTTTTCTGATCAAGACAAAAATACTTAACTATAATATACAGGGTGTTCCGTTGGGAGAAGGAAAAACTTTAACGGTGAATAGAGGTGACCAAGGTGGTTCTGAATATACCATATATGTTGGGTCTCCCATGATTCATTATCGAGATATATCGTTGTCTGCATTTTCATGCCTGTGGAACGTGCCATAGTGTATATTCAAAGGTCCTTACTTTATTCATGTACCTATTCATTTGTTTGAGTCATATTTCCTGTATGTGGATTCACATATTTCAATATTTCTATTGTTTCGATGTGATAATTTCACTTACCTATTGAAAACTGATGGATCCCATAATCTTGGTAAAGGTATTTTAGGAAGAATACAATATGGCATGATTGATTTATACCGCGAATAACGATCCTGAAACATTCGCTGCAGAACATTCTGTATGTATATATATTTGTGCAAAGAGTTCAACAAAACAATCGACATAATAATAAAACTGTTGAAGCAACTTTATTTCCTGAACTATTACAACAATGAACCCGAAAATATACACAGTCGCAACTTGAAACATGCAAATCATAATTTTCCACAAATACATGAAGAAGGTTCTGCAGCGGATTTTTCAGGACATACATATCGTTATTCGCGGTCTAAATTAATTATGCCATATTGTATTCTTCCTAATTCCTATACCAAGTTGATAAGATCCATCAGTTTCCAATAGGTTCGTGAAATCATCACATCAAAACAATAGAAATATTGAAATATGTGAATCCACATACAGGGTGCAATTGGTGCATGGAAATATGTCTCAAACAAATGAATAGGTACATGAATGAAGTAAGGACCTGTGAATATACATTTGCCCGTTCCACAGGCATAAAAATGCAGACAACGACTATTGATTGGGATAAAATGAGTTGTAAAATTGCAAAATTTTCATAATTCGATATGAAAAACTGATAATATTCCGTTTTTAGCTATTGAAATTCACAAATCTTTCATTGCAGCTTCAGAAATTCAGTAGTAAAATAGCATGCGGGAACATAAAAAGTACACAAATTCATTCAACATTTTGTTCTCTCTTCAGATATGTAAGCGGATTTTGTAAATTCAAACATACAGGGTGTTCTTTCGAGGAACCAATGATATGTTAAATTTTTGTTAATCCGGGCCTGGAATTTTTCCTGACGGATATACAAGTCGCTGTGGTAGCAGTGGAAAAGCACGTGTACCAAATATCAGAAAAATATATCTTCAAATAAATTACCGGAATAGATGAAAGACCCTAAATCTCGATAATGAAACATGTAAGACCCAACATATATGGTATATTCAGAACCACCTTGGTCATCTCTATCCACCGTTGAAGTATTTCCGTTTCCCAACGGAACACCCTGTAGCAACCCACCATAACAATGTTGATTATTCTTGATGACGTAGTATATCCTTTTCAGTTCCTAGGAGCAAAAATTCAACTTCAGCTCCTAGGAGCTAAAAGTGATGCCAAGCAACATACCTATGTTTGTGTCAGTAATAGAAACGTCAAGTTCAAGAGCTAATTTTGGTATTAAAATGGACGACTTTTGTGTCGGTTGCAGAAAAAAATATTACTTTAATTTAGCAAATTGAAAAACATAATTTTTTTCTCGATAACGATCACAGATGAGGAAAATTACAATAAGACACAAAAAAGTTCATGAAGCGAAAATGGGCTTAATTGACCCCTGAATAAATATCTCCTTGTAGATTCTCACAATCATTCGATATTATATCCCTAATAACACAATTATGTCCCATGGATATCCTTAGGACGTCCTGTAGTGACATCCAGGACGTCCATAGGAGGTTCGAATTTGGTACCGTGGACGTCCATTGGACGTCTGTGGGACGCACAAATGTCCCACTTGAGGACCATCTATGGACGTCCGTGAGATATGTCTCTGGGACAACTATCGAATACCTTAATCCTACAGTATTCCTCATCAAGCACTACACAGAGCATCCTTAGGACATCCGTAGGACAACCTCCAACCAATCAGTAACGCTGAGGGATATTAATTGGATGTCCATAGGATGTCTTAGGGACGTACGAATTATTCTTGAATTTGAATTCTTCTGGGTCCCTCTAGGACCAGATCTTGCATAACTGATGGGGACATCCAGTTGAGTTGATGGTCCGTAGAAGGTCTCCAATAGATACTGAACAAGTTTCCCAAGACTGTCTAATGGACTTACGTGAAGGACATTGACGGGGAGTATATATAGCCTACATGCAATCATTCGTCGGCGAGGTGTAAATCAACATCCTCGCAGGGACAAACATAATGAAAATACCTACTGGGACGTCCGTAGGACGTTATTTCTAGGACTTCGGAAGAGTACAGTGCATCTACCAATTGGGACATCCGACGGATATCCCTAAGGGACATTTCGATTGTTACACGATCCCGGAAATATCAAGGGCGTATGTGCAGAGATATTTGAAAGAATGTACCATGCATCAGGGACATTTCATGGTTGTCTAGAAGAGACATTATATAAGATCTGAAGTCATGCCAGAATATGTACTACTCGAGACATCCGATGGATGTCCGTAAAGAATCATATATCCCATCAGGGACATGCCAAGGACATCCTTGCATAGATATTTCACAATATGTACCAGGTGGGACGTCTAAGGGATGCAATTTCAAGGACATTTGAGATGATGTACCTGCTGGGACATTTCGTGGATGTTCTTGCTAGGGACGTTCCTAGGACGTTGTGTGCTCTTAGATTCCATCCAGAGAAGAGCCATTCGCCTGGTGGGTGACGCCACACTCACTCATTCTTTGACATCATTGGAACACCGTAGAAAGGTTGGCGACCTTTCACTTTTCTATCGATACTTCCATGGGAAATGTTCTTCGGAAATCTCTGCTATCGTCCCTTCACTAGCAATACCAATCAGACGAACTAGACAAGCCCAGTCAGCACATCCTTTCGTTGTCGACCTCGAAAGATGTCGAACAGCACTTTATCAAGACTCCTTCATCCATAGAACGGCTAGGCTCTGGAATTCATTGCCTATGGAAGTATTCCCAACAACATATAATCTCCAAAAGTTCAAATAAAATTCCAATACCTACCTCCTGTCCCTATCCTCCCTAGGAACGCATGATGTTCTTTGAACATTATAGGGATTCCCTTTCGTGCGCTCCAAGCGATAAAAAAAATTTTGGAATTTCTCAAGTTGAAAATCAGTCCATGAATTAAAAAATGCCAGAATGATATGCTCAAGGTGGGACATCCAGTATGCACTTCATTTTTTTATGACTCCAAATTACATAATATTGAGTGATCATCGCAATAAAATAATGACCCTGTCCTCAACCCTTCCAGTGAAAGTACCATCAATTCTAATTCAGTTACCCAATGACTGACTCTTGCATAGTTCTTTCCGAGGTACCCGGTACCCACAAGTGTCTTATGGTTCCCCTCCTAAGGTGTCCCACATGCGGTGCTGCGAGACCTGCCGAATTTTTTTTCAGCTGCATAGGCCACTAGATAACATCCCGTACGGTAGAGTGACGTGTTTTGTTTCCTATAGTGCGGTGAATTCGCCTACGAATTTGGATTCAGCTCCGTCATCGGAAATTTGCCGCTAAAATGGTTAGTCGATTTTGATTATGCTCGGAGGTTATTTCACAAGTGCAGCAACATTTTTATTGCTTGAATAATAGGTATATTGCCTGGAAAATTTCATCCCTTTGAATATTTGACTGTTCAACCCTGTATACTTAATAATATTTACAATAACAATGTCGCTTGATAACCGCGAATATTTTCCTCATAATATATGGAATGTCTCACAAGAGCAATGATGTAGTTATCGAAAAATTTCAGCGGTAATTGCACTGCAGAGCGAAGATTGCACTGCTTAAACACCCCTTCGCCATAACAACACGTTCGAAACCGTGTCACTAGACGCCAGTAAATAACATATACAGATGTCAGATAGACTTCAGAAAGTGAAAATAATGTCGCTCCATACAAAAAAAAAACATTTCTTCGAGAAGTTCTTTATTCGTTAAATATTCCAATGAATTACACATTCGTGGAATGACCAGATGATGTTGCATTCATTTTCGTTAACTTATAGATACAAATTGCATTCGGTTATTTCATTATTTTGTGAAAAATCTGTTGCAAAATTATCGGTCAGTTTTATGCACTTGATGTTTAATTAAAACGAAAATTTGTGTAGCAAAAATTGCATTGTAGGTATTCTATGGTAGTCTATTTCAGGTTGGTATATTAGATGATTCCGCTGCTATTGATCTTTTTTGAAACCTACATTTGAAACCATATGATGACAACCATAATTGTAATATAAACGAATCCTGATGGCGTTTATGTCAATTTTCATCCATCTTGCGTTGTCAGAAAAGTATCTAAACTGTGGAAATGTCGCGATTTGGAGTCATCAATAATGTGATTTTACGCATTCATTAAATTGTCTAACTGAATTACACTCAAACGTCATTTTTTGGTCGAAATTCGAGTTTTGTTGCCTTTAGTAAATTGAATTCCCATCGAAATGTTAAGTTTACTTCGACAAATCAACTCCTACACGAAAAACGCTATGTGACGACGACGTGAAGCATTTTGACATCTATAAAAAAGAATGCACCTTTCTTATCGCTGATAAACTGTCTGCTACTTTGATCTAGTAGCTTTTCGCACCTGAGCCGTTTTAGGAAAATTTCGTCTGAAGAAAACACGAAAATATGAGAAAATTGCGCGAACTACCAGTTACACGGAATCATCAATAAAGGTAATCATTATTGTTGTTTATTTGTATATTGTCGTTGCGATGATTAATCTTTCCAAAAAACACTCGAACTTTTTTTCCTTCAGTTATTCCTCTCGAAAAACTGACATTATACAAAATTGCTCGACCTACGTTCTCGCAATTTTTTTATGTCAGTTTTTCTCCTAAAATTACTGACAAAAACAGCTCTCGTGAATTATAAGTAAAAATTCAATTCATGTGTAAAAAATTCACTAAGCCGCTGTGATTTCGTCATTATGACGAAAAAAGTTTGCCCTATAACTATTCCAGCGACAAAAGGGAACCTGACCATTCGAAAGCATGACAACCAGAATTGTAAATAAATCTTTGATGGCGTTTCTGTCAATTTTTCCCAAATTCACATTGTCAGGAAAGTACTATAGTTAATCTGTAGAAATGATTTGGAGAGTTATTATGTATTCATTACCGAAATACACCGAAGCATATTTTGGAAGTAGTAATCTTGACATTTATAATTCAAGTTCTGGTGCATTTATGAAATCTAACCTAAGAAATTCCCAGAAAAAATTACCCCAAGAAATATTGAAATATCCGATATTTCCTCCGAAAGAAGCTCTCGTGTAATTATAAGTGGAAGTCATTTTTTTTTTTTAGTAAGAATAATAATTGTTTCTCGTATGAGCAAGTATTATTTCCAAACTCAGTTAACTATATGCAGAAGTATGGTATGTACATCTATGATAAGTTTGGTATTTTCTTCCATTTTTCGTGATGATTGCATTTAAAGATTGAATTTTTATCATCAATAGTAAAAAACTTTTACTATCACATATTTTAAAGAACCAGATAATTTTGTATACCAGTGGTTCATCATTTTATATCTTTCTATCAATATTCCTTTTTTGATAATATGTTATTCGGTTGAAAATATATTACTTATATGGAAACTGAAATATACATACATTCCTCTGATACACTTCTACATTTCTGATAATGTTATTAAGAGTATTTACAGAGGGTAGGTCATGATTTCTCGAAGACACATTTTTTCTCGTGCTTTTTCCTTTTGGTGAAAATATTGAAGCATTTGATAGAGCGAATGAAACTGTATAAAAACAGTAAAATCCATCAGTGATTATATTCCAGGAGGATTCGAAATTCTTGGCCGGATACAATTTATCTGTCTTCCGTTTTTAAACTTTATTTTTCATCACGCAATCTCTGCACAATCCTCAAAATTGTTCTAGAATTTGGAACGCGTCGAGAGGGAAACATTTCGGTTTAACGAAAAACCGGCAATTTCTAGAAATGTCAGTTGAAAATCGCAGTTATAATATTACTAAGCAGAAAAACTGAACAAGGAAATAAACAAATAGTTATTTTTGTATCTAGAGCGCGAAATGATACTTTGGTGATCGAGATCTGAAAAAATAGTCGAGATGACCAAAGTATTTCGCGCTCGAGTCGAAGAAGAAATGTTGACAACATAAATATGGACTTGGCAACAATCCTCAATTGGGGATCCTATAACTTGGTAGATTTCAATACAATCAAAACACAAGCATGCCTTTTCTCTAGAAAAGCCGATATCACTGTGCCCAACATAAGCTTTTCAAAAGTAACTATACCTTTGAAGACACCAATTTCAATGCTTGGTATTACTATCAGCAATAACCTTTCACGTGAGACCAATTGCTGAAAATGCAACCCAAAAACTTGGTTATCTGTTTTGGGTCAGGAGCAATTTCACTGCCAGTCAGCTGCTTATGATCTATGAGGCACAGATCCGAATTGTCTTGGAATACTGTTTCCATATTTGGAGTGCAGCACTCAAACAAACCTGAAACTTTTGGATTCTGTCCAAAAAAGGGCAATTCGTCTCGTGGTTGATGCCTCGCTCACAAACTCACTGATTTCCCTGGAACACCGTAGAAAAGTTGGCGATCTGGCTCTGTTTTATAGATATTTTCATGGACGATGCTCTCCTGAAATATCAACAATTGATTGTTCCTTCCTTAGCACTCCCCGCGAGATTAACGGATTAACCCGTCGAGTTGAGGCTTCGCACCCCTTCGTGGTCACTCTGGAGATCTGCAGAACATCTCTTCCCAAAGACTCGTTCATCCAACGAACAGCGAGGCTCTGGATCACATTGCCAAAGGAGGTGTTCCCCGAAGCATATAACCTCCAGAAATTCAAGAAGAACACCAATTCATACCTTATTTCCCTTGGTTCTCACGATGTTCTCTGAACATTACAGGATATCCCTTTTCGTGAAAACCTGAACATAAAAAAAATGCTCAGCTTGATATAAAAAAAAAGTGTTGAACTGGCTTGAAAGTCCTTCCCCTATCCTTCCTAGGTACGCATGATGTTCCATGAACATAATAGGAATTTCCTTTCGTGCGCTCCAAGAGATAAAACGAAGTTATTGTTCAACATTCAGAAATAAATGATCCCATAGATGTTAGCTCGATTGAGGACCATAAAGTTGAAATATAAATATCTAATATATTTTACACAACAATGCGCGAAGTAGGTACTTCGCGCACTGTTTCACTTCGCGAATTGTTTCGTGCAAGGTATCATGGTAACGTAGGAAACTGAAAAGAGTGTCACTTCGCAATTTGTTATCAATGCACGAAACTTATCATTTTTTGACGATTGTAGAAAAACAATGTTCATGTCGTGAACGTCAAAGTTAAAAACCAAATTGATCATAATGGCCTCCTAAAAATATAGTCACCAACCGATGAAGTCATCTGCATAATATCCTTTGACTACCAAAACTCAAATAATTATCTCGAAAACGGTTACAACTTCCGTATTTTGATTTGATTAGAGTACCGTTTTCATGTGATTTTTCTCGCTCTATTAAATGCTTCTATTTTTCCACCAAGAAGAACACGAGGAAATGAGTTCTCTTCAAAAAATCTGCACGCACCCTCTATAATAGCACCATTTATAACGATATCAGAAATGTAGGAGTGTTTACTATGTGTATGTGTGTAAACTATACTCATTTTTCAATTTATCACCTCTAAAAAGCTCGTCTTACACTTTTTCGCCTCATCCTGTATAGAACATTATCTTTCTAATCTAATCCAATGATATAATGATAACATCTTGTTTGCCTCCTCATTCCTTTTCGGATGCTCGTTTGGTTCCGTGCATGCGAGCATCAGTCGCAGCCACCTTTGACATATTATTTCAATAAAATACAATAATTGAACATTGAACTGTGAATCGAAGAGAAGAGATGCTACTTTGTGATAGTTGTGATACATGATGGAATCTATTGAATTTCAAGGCGAATTAATATACACTATTATGTTGAAATATTCACGGTTCCATTCGAAACGAAAAATAAGGATAGCTTCATAAAAATATTGTGTTTCCTAGTTTGAAAAGGCGCTATTTTTGATTACGATGTGCTGACAATATCTGAATAAAATAGTTATTTATGTACAATATATTTTTTTAATCTATCGGAATTAGTGAATAATCAATTTGTCAACAGCAAATGACAGTTGTTGAGCTTACCTGACCAGGGATGCCAGTTCGATTTTTATTCCATCAGTAAATACCTTACGAATTCCAAGGTAGGATAATGATATAAACCTATGACGTCAAAACATCATGAACTTTTATTAAACAGAAAAGTAACATATTTCCAACAAATTAGAAACAAACAAAACAAACATTCTCATGAAAAATAATCATACCATATTTGAAAATACTCACAAATATGACAAAATACAGTTACATAGGTAGTTATAAGATCTGAGTATATGAAAAACAGGAGCGAATAGTAAAAATGAATTACAAAAATACAAAACAAATAAAAGAATTGAACGTAAGAAACAAACTGTTACAACAGGGGTATATAGGAAATGGAATTTGGAATCTGAATCATATCATTATTTTAGTTCCTATATTATGTAAAAGTATTACTTATTTGGTAATATTAATTTAACCATCAGCGTGCCAAAATAGCAATTCATAAAAGATTAATAATAATTCAAATGTTTTTTTCGTGGAGGTTGTTTTAGTTAACTAATTAGTCAGTAATTTCTGCCTTTGCCGGTGAAGATAACAAACTTCGATACAGTGAACAGTGCCATAGACTGAGGTTTGAAAAAAAATTGCAGATTCTCAAATAGTTCCTGACATTCAGAAACTATGATTGCAAAATCTAAATGAATGAAATTAACCTCAATCAATCATTTTGAAATCATGCGAACGAATTTAATGATGTTCGGAATTTGCCAATTCATAAGTATATACAGGGTGATTCATGTAGGACACACATTGGACGTTTTTCAAATTGCAGTGTGATTTTCAATCTACCTGAAACATTTCCTGTCCTTCAGTGAGTGCCAAACGTCGCCACCAATTTATTTTGAATATAGTAATTTATATTTATTTCACACAGTTACATTAGTTATCTAAATTCCAGCAGAGATAATCTGCTTCATCTGAATTCATCTATCACACTCCTCGAAATATGTTGATTTTTTCCAAAATAATTGTCACCTTAGCAGTTTACGAAAGCGTATTTATCTGACACACCTTTCAAAAAAAGAGCATCGAATTTATGGTATAGTTAGCTGGATATCTACGCTAACTCCTGATATCTTACCGACGATACCATTTTGTACCATATGGGCACAGGCCAAAAACTCAACTTCTCCAAATGGTATACCTTCTTTTTTTTCTCTGACACCATATGAACTAGAATAAAATGAAAAATGGGTTTCTTGAGCACACCCTATATCTAACTCAAAAGTCTATCGAATTTGGTCAGCGCGTATAAGTCACCCTATATGTATAAGTAGGTAAGTATGCTTATTCAAAATTACAGACCATAAACATTTTTATTATATTGATTCATGTTGCAAGAATGAATATATTCTGATATAATTAAATTGTGCAATTATTGTTTTCATAATTTGACCAATAATGACTGAGCCAATGATGAGCACAATCCAAGAATGTTTTATTTTTCATCAACTATTGTT